AGGAATGCCTCTAGTTTGATGCTGAAAGCCTCAACGTGTCCAAAACCTGCCACTTCTGCCATGGCCTGACTCAGTGGTTTGTGATCGGGGCACCCTGGGGAAATAATGGCAGTACAAATAATTCCTTCAATTAAGATACACGCCGCTTTTCTCATTTGAATATGACACTTGCTTGTTGCGACTGGTTCTTGTTATGCTTTGCATCTGCAAAAGAACCTGAGCCCGTGAGGAACAGTTAGGTTTCCTCTCCGAGCGGATGTGTCTGCTGTGGCTGTTCCCCTTTGAGCTGGTGTCGCTGCAGAGCGTTTGCACTAGGCCGTGTCATGTTCCCATGACTCTTCCCCGTTAGCATAGCCGGTCCAGGCCCCACCGTGCTGCTCAGCTCAGTGGCTGCCATCGCCTTGAGTTCAGCGGCAGAGCGGCTGACGGGAGCGTGAAGGTGAGTCAGGGGTATTGAAGCTGAGTGTGCTGATGAAAGGACCAAATCCACACTTTGGCCTGGCCTTTGACATCAGTCTGAGTCCTGGGCCTTTTTGACCCGTCCCCCCATGCACCTCACCTGTCTGTCCCAGAGTGGGAACTGGCTGCTGTGGCAGTTTTCTCACCTGTGACTTAACATTTTGTACTGCTCTGTCCATATACCATATGTAATGATTTCCAGTTTCTTTCTCCTCTGCAATTCAACACAGTGTCAAAAAATTGGGGCTCTCTTCAGAGCGAGCTGCCTTTTGCTGGCAAGGAATCCTCTGTATTTCTTTCCAGGAGAGTTTACAGATGTTGCTGCAGGGTTGAGTTCTGTGAAGTCAGTGCCACCTTGGCCTGCTTGGAGAAGGAAAATGTAAAGAGTTGGCCAGAACAGTTAGCCAGGTTTGTGTTTCTCTTACCTGCTGATTCCAGGCAACTTTGCTGTAGAGGCGAGCGGGGAGAACTGTGTTGCTCCCCACTGCAGGCGCCGTTCTCGGCGCTTAACAAAACCTCTCTTGTTTGCTTTCCCTTGATCTGCGTGCTGGAGCATTTCCTGGCTTACAGACCAGGCTGTCAAAAACGTCTGAGAAGTATTTTGCTCCAGACTTTATTCTTTCAGCTGCATCAATTTGCCTGCAGCCTCAGTGTATGGTGATTCAGCATTTGTGTCTGAAGCCAGCCCTTCTGGCATGGCACAGCTCAGCTCTACCTTGTAAATATGGGGTATCTTGTTTTGCTGTGAAACGGGACTGAAAGTTTGGGGCTGGGCACCACTGATGGCAAGAAGCATAACACATCCAAGCTTTTTTTGGTGGCTAGATCTGGTTCACAGCTTCTCTTCTGACTTTCATGGCTATTAGGAACACTTCTATGTGGTTGGACACGAGTGTGGGTTAAAGCCCTGGAGGCTGTTAAGAAAGACCTTAATATTCAATCTCTAAGTCAAAAAGGCTTTCTCAGTCAACATGTTGCTAAAATTGCCATCTGCCTGCTGATTTTTTATGGAAACTTAGATTATTTTAAGACTAGCAGTTGTGTTTAGCTGTCAGTGCTTCACTTGGAGTAAGCTCTCTGTGATGCATTCGTTTGGATTCATCTGATGGTCTCGCAAGAAACCTGGATTAAACTTGGTAACGGCTAATAAGCCTTTTCTGTCGTTGTTTCTAAGTGCTGTTGTAGAAATCCTTACCAGACTGCAGCATTCTGAAAAAGTCTTTGATTACACCCATTTCTGTCTTCTCCCTCCCTTCTCTTTGAACCCTAGACTCTGGGCTGGTCGTCCCAAGTGTGTCTTACGAGCTGCACAAAAAGCTGCTCTCGGTCGCTGAGAAGCACGGGCTGACTCTGGAGCGGAGGCTGGAGATGACGGGAGTGTGTGCGAGTCAGATGGCCCTGAGCCTCCTTGGGGGACCCAACAGGTAAAACCAATCCCTTTTGCTCTGCTGTGGATTTACCTCTGCTTCTCAGCAAAGCTCAGCTTATCTTGTTCTGCTAAGTGGGGTTGAGGTAAAAGAGGCTGAGAGGTTCCTTTTGAGGTAAACGTCATGTGAATGCCTGCTGCTGATCGTCACCTCTCTGCCTTCCTCGCCTCTGAAAGAGGAAACTCATCCCAATGCCGTGCAGATCTGGGTTGTAGCTCGTGTGTCAGCCTGTTTCCAAATCATCCTGAAAACAAACGTGAGTGAGGCTCGGGCTCCTGAAGTAGCAGGAAGCTTTACAATAGACTTCCATGTTCGTGCTGCCTTTTTCTCCTCCTCCCTGGAAAAGGGCTTGCTGAACATACCCTCTTGGATGAATGACTTACTAAGGGCTTCTTTTTGGCTCCTGTGTCGCAGAAGTGTCTCTTGAGTCTTCTCAGTGACAATGATAAGACAAGGGGTAACGGACACAAACAGGAACACAGGAGGTTCCACTTCAATTTGAGAAGAAACTTCTTCTCAGTGAGGGTGACAGAGCACTGGCCCAGGCTGCCCAGAGAGGTTGTGGAGTCTCCTTCTCTGGAGACATTCAAAACCCGCCTGGACGCCTTCCTGTGTAACCTCATCTGGGTGTTCCTGCTCCGGCAGGGGGATTGGACTGGATGAGCTTTGGAGGTCCCTTCCAATCCCTAACGTTCTGGGATTCTGTGATTCTGTGTGTGAGTCAAAGACAAAACAGACAGAACTGAGGCTTTTCTCTTCACTTACTGGGATTTTTTTCAGGGAGTTGAGCTTTGCACAAGTGTAACTGAAAGGACGTTAAACCCTTGCAGAATTTCTGGCGAGCTACTCCATTTGGCACATAAGTAGAGCTTTCCTTTGTTGTTTGGACGTGCTGCAATTTAAAGATATCAGTAAAATGGAAGGGAAGCTTTAAGTCTCCATCTGGTTATTTGGTTGGGCTTTAGCAGGACCTGACCAAGAACAGTAAGTGATGATACCAGGCAGCACTGACCCTATCAGCTGAAAATCCTACTGTAAACCACCCTTGATGGCTTGCAGGCCATTTAAATAAGTTAACTTTATTTTACAGTTGATGAGGGTTGGGGAGATTATTTTTCTTCTTTTTTTTTAAACTGTGGCTCTGCCAATGGAGTAGCTCACCCTGTATTTTTAAGCTTGTATAGTTAGCTTTCTTCCGAGACCAGAGGCACACAGAGAAAAAGCCTCTTTAAAGGTAACTTGCCCTGGATTCACATTTGCTACGTGAGCAGTGAAAATGCCCCCTGCTTTGACAGTACGAGTTGGCTTTGTGATAAACCAGGGTGAACTGGGACCTTGTGCTCTCTGCTGCGGGTGCAAGGAAGCCTCGAAGGGAACCTGCAAGCAGAGCAGCTCTCTAGTGTCAGCGCTATGAAAGGATGTGGGTTCCTTCTTGAAGACAACGGAAGATTTGCAAAACACCTGTCAATTTGCATTTTACTGATTTTTCTCTTGCAGGAGGAAGGTGAGATATTCTTGGGTTTATTTGATCTGGATGAGGGGACTGAGTGCTCCCT